AATAAAATAGGAAACCCCACCGATATACACTTAAATCATTCGCACTCACCGACACATTCGCACTCACACTCACCGACACATTCGGAACACACACACACAGACACACATACACACAACGATTCGTGGTGTGAAACTCCCTCCTATTCGCCTGTAACCCCCGATCCTCCCGCAGAAAATCCCGCGGATCTACAATTCGCCCCGACTCCTCCACCTCCCCCTCGCTCTCCTTCCCCTGAACCATCAACATCCAGAACCGAACCCGTAGATGATGAATCCTCCGACTCAACCCGCTCAACCACTTAGTTCCCGTCCACCATTTCTATACAATGTTCCCTCCAAGTTCCGCAAAAATCCAGGAAATTATAGAAATCGACCTCGAATAATTTCTATCACGAATCGGCGTCTTAAATATGCTACCGACACAATTACACCTGTAAAACCCCGCCGGAGGCCCTTCACACACACATCGCATACACTCATATATATATGTATTTCCCCTCTCTAGCCTCCGAGCGATGACCCCCCTGATTAATATACAATTCGCGATATCACATTCATCTACACGAACACACACCTAAAATTGTAAATCCATAAAATGAATAAATTAATATTATACGTAGCATAATTTCTCCATTTAATTAAGACGACCTCTCATCATTCCACATCCTCAATTGATTGCACGGTCTCGTCTTTAGTCCGTGGAGTTAATTCTCCAGACTAGAAAAGAGACCAACGAGTGAGTGTTCGTAAGACAGAGTAAGATCGGCGTACGCCGTTGACCTGTCGACGAACGTAAGCAAACTCGCTCGACTCCGTTGCAGCGGGATCGCCAACCTGCTGTGCGGAGATAGACAGAGAAACGACAGCTTTCTGTTACTCCACCATAGCCCGACCGTAACCGTGGGCCAGAACGTAACAATATGTTATATTAAAATAACGTTTCATTTCAAAACATAGTTTAGTGTTTCGAAAACAAATTGAAAATTGTGATCATATAGAATTATATGTGAATCGGATACAATCTTGTATGATCGTGGGAACTTTTATATAAATCAAATATGATTTTACATAAGTTGGATGCGATTTTATGTAATCGTGTAAAATGAAATCCGAAGTTTGGCGCAATCTGATTTTATATACTCCTATATAAATATAAGCAATCATATACTATCGTACATAATTTTATGTATTTATATATGATCATATAAAATCAGATCGCGCCAAATTTTGGATCTGATATTACGCGATCGCATAAAATCATATTTGACTTAGATAAAAGATTATATGATCATACAAAAGTACATCCAATTTACATATAATCCTACATGATAACATGATTTTTTCATTTTTTCTCGGTGTGTAAAAGTTACAGACTTAGAAATGCAAGTATTACCTGAAAGACTAGAGAAACTCCGTAAAATGTCAAAAATCCTTCGATAAACCAAGAATCAGACTGTTTAGGTGTAATTAACCAATTACTGAACGCTTCTTGTATCACACTGCGTGCAACCAAACATGTTACTTCTATTTTTTTTCTAAACGAATCACTTTCTTTATTGTATGCAATATCGGCGTCTCTAAAAATAGTAGTGTCTTTAATGCACTTCTGTCGTTCACATCATGTGAATATATTTGTTGTAAGCTAATTTTTTGGGTAATATATGTTACCTGAAAAGGACAAGTCCAGTAGTTACTATAGTTTCGTAGCTGTAGTATGTTGAAAGTGCTATATACTGCACGTGTGAGATTGGTGTAACATCCCTTCTCTTGAGTCTAATAAAACTCGTAATATGACGTATAAGAAGTCGTGCGTATGAAATGTCGTTTTCCACTTGTACTCTGCTGTGTATGCTAAGTGTATCTGACATGAAGGTAAAGTTGGTACATTCAGAAGGTACGACTACTGTTGCTACGGCACGAGTGGATATTAAAGGTGTACGGAATAAAGTATATGTATAAACTTGAGATTTTTCCACTGAGTTATCACGTATATTTGAAAGAGCTATTTCACTACTGGTATGCTTGATTCGAATAGTAAATGTGGCCTTAGTTGCGAGATTTTCCCAACATGGAAATATCCATTCAGCGGGAATACGCGGTAATATCAAATATCTATAGAATGTAAAACGTTGTTGTTCTTTTAGTAATTTGTTCCTTAAAAACTTTATAACTTCTATGCAACAGTACAAAAAAAGAAATAATTTCTGTATTAGTATTTAATGCACTTACTTTTCTATTTTAGTTTCATCAATAAATGGATAAATTCTCATAACTTTATCTAAACTGCAATTATATTTTGCAGATATCCACAGTCCACTTTCTACATTTACTATTCGTTGTTGTATTCTAAAGTGTTCGATATTATGTTTAATGAAGTTGATGTTCAAGGTTTTGAATCGGTCGTCCGAAAAAAATGGCAAAACTTTTGTTTCCCAAAATAAAGATGAAAAATTAGAATAACCATTAGTCATGATGTTAAGTTTCGGTTGTTTACAGTAACGTCCAAAATAAACTTTTATGTTTTGCAGTGGACACTGAACGTTTAGTTTAACAAGGGAATCAACAATCAGAGAATTTTTTTGTATGTCCGCAGAAATATTCAGAATATATTCCCTCGGTTCTATGCATTGCGGAGAAAAATTCTCATGAACAGTAGAAGTAATTTCGTTGACACATAAAAGGCATATAGTTCCGAGAACAGTAAGCATCTGTGTAGTTAGTATCTATAAAATAATTTTGTACAATTATTGTATAAAGGTATTTTAAACAAGAAATACACATGTTATTAAAATCACAAATATAACACAAAAAGTATTATATAAAAAAGAATTACTAATTGCTGTTTTAAATACATAAATGTCAAATATAATTGTATGTAATTGTGTATCTTTTTTTTTGCGAATAGTTTTTACTAACAATTTTGAAAGTTCATAAACTATTAAGCATAGAGGTATGTGTTTCTCAAAAAATATTTTCCAGCGTCTTTATTTCTATCACACACACGACAGTATTTATTAGTATTGTATGTTTTATCCGACATACATAATTAAAAACACAGGAGTACAGATTGTGTTTACGACAAATTCGATATTCACCTAATAAAATCACGTTTGAGAAAACTGTTTAAGTTTTTTTTATGCATTTTAAATGAGATCAGTTGAATATTACAACAGTGAAAAAAACTTATTAATGCATTGTTACAATATATACCAATTATTATATGCTACTAATCAATTACTTTATAGCAATTACTATATGCTAAAAATAGTAATGTTCAAAATTTTTTAATTATATACTTAGTTTTAATTTACATTAACTATATAGATAAATTGAAGATTTCGAAGTCTGTAGTCCACCGGTGATGTTTGGTGAAAGAAATATTTCATTCGTTTGTTTTCGCATACTCATATTTGTATTGTTTGTGTGACTTTCTTTGACATGGCTGTTGACATGTGATCAGTGTCTTTTGAGATTGTAATGTACCTTACACATTTCTATAATTGGTATCATATTTTTTGTGATTACTTTTATCTTTACTTTGTAAAGTTGGTTTTGCTTCAATTTGTTTATGTTTTAACACTTTTAATATATTTATATTCGTATTTTTTTCATGTTTCTTGTAAACGTTTGTAGATTTAGACAATGTAAACTTATATATTTCTTACTTTGCTCATTGTAGAATTAGCTGATAATAATTGCAAAAATAAAATTGATCAAAAGTTCATATCGTTAATTTTTAAACACAAAGTTTTCTTTTATTTACTACCACCTGTAGACTGCAGCTTTGAAATTCTTTCTTTCTCTCTTTCTCTCTGTTTCTCGTATTGTATTTATTACATTTATTTTTAAGCTTTTTCAACCACTTAATCATTAACAGTATAATATGCTTTGTTGAGATAATAGATCAATGTTAATTCATTTTCTATTTTCTGTTTTGTATTTGGGTAAATACAACATTTATAGTATTCTTTAAAATATAAGAAGCAATTTTTATTCTACAAAAAATAGTTTAATGACTTACCATTTTCTGTATAGTGATATTCAATGCATTGAAGTAAAAATCTTGCAAAAAAAGTGCAAACTGGTACTCAAACAAGATCGAAAGCGTATCTCGTGATCGTATCTGTGCGTTCTCGTCTCTTCGAAAAATTTCGGATAACTAGAGAGCAGTCCTTTCTGTGAAATGATGAATACACACCACGATGGGTAAGTTCCACGTGCCGTTCGCAACGTTCGTGAGCGTTATCTATCTTTGTTTACTTTTCGATGAGAAATAAGGATAAAATGTTTTCATGAGAGTTGCAAACGACAAGTAGAATGTACATGATGTAAACGTATGTGTGGGGGTAGAGCATAGACTTATATAATAAACGGTACATTTGTATAAGAGAAGCTGAAGCTTCGTTAAAAGAGACAGAAATAGTCGTGGAGTAGTTCTCTTCTTTTCTAGCAGTGAGGTGATTGGTGGTCGCGGCAGGCCGAGGAATTGGCCGAGAGCAACGAAGATAGACGTCTGACTGAGAGTGAGTTGAGAGAGAGTGATAGTGAGAGGTGATAGCATGCATGTAGCATGTATAGACTTGTTGAGAGACTTGGCAGACGCTAACAATTAACACTAACATAAACCTTTTTATAAGTGAATTTAATTTAACTAATTTTTTAACGTAAATTTTTTATAAATCAAGTTATCTTCACATAACAACAGTTGTTTATGCTTTAGTGTAACCAACTGTTGTTGTTTTTCTTTAAAAACATAAATAAAATAATAAAAAAATTATATCCATACAAGACTCAAACCTTTCTAACCACTCGAGCACACAAGTCATAAGTAATGGTTTTTTACGTCTAAGCATAGCCTTATATGTATGTCCTATGCGCTTAAAGTGACTGGTCCCCCACCGCTCTTATTCTAAGAAAGAAAGACAACTACTTCAGCACTATCTCTGTCCTTTAATGTCTTCAACTTCGTCATATGAATGTTCCGTCGATTATATAAGTCTATAAAATAGAGGCAGACGGCTACGACTGTATCTTACATATATAAATGATGATAGACATATTGTATTTGACATATGTCTCTCTCTCTCTCTCTCTCTCTCTCTCTTTTCACTGTCTAATGTACAATTATACTATTATATACTGTGTAGTGTATATAAGATATTTCTATCTTTTATGTATTTTAATCTATGTTTCAGATCTGTGAAAAAAATCGGAAAAATAGTTTGAACTTTTAAGTGCAATATTGTTACTCCCGTGTAGATTTAAAAGATTTGTTGGTAAGAAAATGCGACGGAAGAAACTACATTCAGGATCTTTGTCAAAATGTATTACAAACACACTCTTTTAGCTGTAATCTAAATTTTTTTGTATTCTTTTTTAAAGAGAAAATTTTATCGTTTTGATTAAATAAAACATGGGTGACTCTACGTGATTGGTCGATCGCGTTACCTTCGGTTTCAAGGTAAAGGCAATGTTGATTATTGTGTTCTTTCGGACGGCACGTGCATGCTCACTTCTTCGGGCTCGCTCGATATTCATAACTTGAGAGAGAGAGAAAGAGAGATAGAGAGAGAAAGAGAGAGAGAGAGAGAACGCAACGAGAGTAATTGCAAACATCATTTTGACAAATATACGCTTGTATTGGACATATTTTAACGCAGTCGGAGTTTTGTGACAATAATTGTGAATAAACACTAAAACGATAAATTTTACTACGCAATACGTAAAAAATGCATTTGAACGTCCGAGATGTCAGTCGGGAAAACAAGTTCACGCGTAGCAGGGCTGGTCGTGATTTATTCGATTCTACACATTTCAAATTCGTCATATTGTCTAACAATTAGTAATAGTATTTGTTTTTGTGTTGTACAATTTTATTAAACTTGTAGTTTTGTTTAGCCGCGAGTATAATGTTTGCGAAAATCATGTGAAAAAAAGGGAAATAAAATGAAAATTTTTAAATACTAAAAGTTGCTACGTAATGTGTAAAATATGCGTATATTGTTTATTAACAAGTATACGTTTCTGTTGAACATATTTTGACGCAATTTGAAGTTTGTGTGTAATAAACGGTAAATTTTAATACGCGATGTGTAAAAACTTAATTTGGACGGCCGAGATGTTTTTTTAACTTGTTTGCCATCAATCAAGAAAAGTTCACACGTAACAAGGATGGCCGTGATTTATTCGTTCTACACATTTAAGATTCGGTATATTGTCGAAGTAATAGTATATCTTTTTAGTAAGTTAGAAAAATAGAGTTCTGATGTAAACAGGTAAAATTTAAATTTTATTCTTTTTCATTGATGTGAATCATGTATCATAGTATGTAAAACTTGTAAAGTATAGAATGATATTTAAAAGAGAATTAACACAGTAACGAAAAAAATACTTATCATTCATTTTCTATTCTTATCAACAGAAGAAGATAAAATAATACAACCAAACAAATGTAATTTGCGTGCTGTATTAACACCTAAGGTGTCAGTAAGTGGCCAGGTATATAAAGTAATGAATACTATATTTACTAATGGACTGCGTATTGATAACAGTCTTTAAATATGTATATGTAGAAAGAAAATCATTTAGCTAGTTTAAAAGTTGATGATATGCAGTTCGAAAATGTTGAAAACGGCGGCCTAGAGGTGCTACAAATGTCTGTATTCTTTTCTTGACGAAAAGTAAAGAGGTTTTGGTGATTAGAAAAATAAGATACAGTAGAAAAAAAGTAAAGTTTAGAATTTTATTTTTTTAAATATTTTTATTTCAATATATTAAATGTGTTTTATTTTATTATATATACGTAAAAGATATGCTACAAAAAAGAAGTGATATCTGAAAACTTACCTTTTTAAAAAAAGATAAACCAGTGCGCCAAGTACACACACAACACGTAATACTTTAAATAAAAATTCTAAACTCAAACTAGTATTTATAAAAAAATGTATTTTGTTTTTAATATAAAACATCCTTTTTCTACAAAGCCTACGTTACAAACGAAGTGATATGAAAAAGTAGCACCAAGTACACTTGTGTACATTTAAAGAAANTATTAAAAACATTATAAAAAAATAAAAAGTATAAAATTAGTATATATGTATCAATAATTAAACCTTGCGCTTGTGAAAAGTTGAAATATAAAAAATAATTAAGGCAAAAAAACTTGGCGTGGCTGCTCCAAAACTACAGCAGACATGTTTTATCTGTGCACGTGCGAGTTTAAATTTATACTAACGACCAGCATGAATAGTGCCTAGAAACAATTACAAACTTTATTTATCATAATACATTTTGTATATGTTTGCATAAGTGTCCAGAACATAAATTATATAATGTAACAAACAAAACCAAAGTAACTGTTTTGTATAAACATATTTTAAATCTAAACAAAAAAACGTCAAACATAATTACAAAACTATATAACTACTATTACAATCGTGATTAAAAAAATCAAACTACTATTCTTCATATTTTACAAAAGCAAAATATACTGTGTCTTTGGTGTAATCGCGGCTTAGCAGTTGTAGAAAGAGCAATTTGGGGTCGGTGATCTAAAAACATCGTATAATACTACTATTGAATGTAATGTGGAAAACTCATTATTATGATATTTTTTAAGTATATTACGCTATATAC